TGGATCGTGGTTATAATTGTATCACTCGAGCTTTCGTGTGTTTACGCGGATATAAAGAGGATTAAAGAGTGTTTATTCATTCGCGTGTCATTGCAAATGTTAATACGTGATTGCAGGTTGTTATTACTGTACGTACGAGATTTCGTGGCGAACTGCTAAATTTACGGCTTTGGAATTATTTAAAATGTACAGAGAATCTATTTTGCAGTCAGGTTTCACTAAAGAGCATAGTCTGCTAAAGGGATCGTGTGCGCGTTTGGTTGAGGAGCTGGGGACGGAATGTTGTGGCAGTGTGCGCGTGAGGGTTAGGCCGGGTTGAAGGCATGCTGTCGTTACCAGCCGCCGGTTGCGGCGTTAATGTGGTTATTGAGTGTAAAAGTATAGGATGCTTAGCACTGCTGATGCAGCGATGAATCGACTCCTCACGCTGCTACTGACAGAAGGCAATGTTTCTACTGCTGCTATGCAACTGCTGCTCCTACTGCTGCCTACTGCTGCTACTGCCTGTTGCTGCTGCTACTGCTGCTGATGACTGGCGGTTGTCCTGCTACTCCTGCTGCTGCTGTGGCTGCTGCTGCTGGTGGTGCTGCTACTGCTGCTGCTACTACTGCTGCTGCTGTGGCTGCTGCTGCTGGTGGTGCTGTGGCTGCTGCTGCTACTACTGCTGCTGCTGCTGTGGCTGCTGCTACTGCTGCTGCTACTGCGGCTGCTGCTGCTATAGATTCCCCTTCCTTGTTGTCCAGAATTCACAGGAGCAGCAACGTTCAACGAGACTGGTGCAACGTTCACCAAGCAGCAACTGTTCTAACGAATATTGCTTTCAGAGCAATCCGAATTTGTGCTTTACTACTTTCTTTGTGCAGCCAGTTACTGTATGATTGGGAAGTGATGATGGTTATGAAGAATGATAATGAAAATTATGACAGTATTGAGTAACAATGTTGGTCAATTTAGATGTTTAATATGAAATGTAATCAATTCATACTTGCTAATACTTTATGCAGATCATCAAGATGACTACTGATAAATATGTGGGTGGGTGTGTGCGTGCGTGCGTGCGTGCGTGCGTGCGTGAAACACGTGTGCGTGCGTGCGTGCGTGAAACACGTGTGCATGCAATTGTCTGTGCGTGCGACTTTCAGAGCGACTTTGAATCATGCAGAGACATTCACTCGCTAGTGTTACCTTTCAGGACCACACTAATTTATACATGGTTCTGGAGTTCATATCAGGAGGAGAAATGTTCTCTTATCTGCGTCGCAAGGGCCGCTTCTCGTGAGTGCCAGTACCGGCTTCTACCAGGAACACGATCTGTCCAAGAGAAGCAGAAACCACAGGCGTGTCACGCGCAAACTCACTGCCTCTAGTGCCGCGTGGTCGGCATTTTTTTTTCATGCTCGTAGAACATGTTCCACGCTGATTGATAGCACGTTTCGAATTCGCTGGCTGATAGCGAGAGCAGTGAGCGCGATGGCAAGCGCGTTTGAGCGTGTCAGCCTGTGGTTTCTCACACGGCGGTCGCCGCCTCGCTGCGTCGCCAGCTCTCCGGAGCAGGAGTACTCACTGCACCTCGGCACACACGGCAGATACTTACTCACCCGTGCCAGCCTGCCGCGCTCGTCACCGCAAGCCGAGGCGCGGCCGGCATGCTCGGTGCTCGATAGGTGGCGCCGCTAGCAGAGCGTGGCGCGCGGCGAGTGAACCTGACGCTAATACGTGCGTTGCTCTTCAGGTTTCGCGTTGCGGCAGTGCGGGGCGATCGTGCTGGCTCGCGCGCGCGCGCACGCGTGCACGCTCACTGCGCGTGGCTGTTGGCAGGTGGCACCGTAACACGTTGCATTTTGACATCATCACTGGTCACCTTGCACTCTCCTATGACGGCACCGACTGCTGCATCGTGCATCGACCCCTGCCCCCCCCCCCACCCACCCCTACTCTACGCTAGTACGGCTTCAGGCAGCTAGTGAGAAGCACACCTATAGCTAGATCCTCGCTTATTAGCTGTGGGGTTATAGCTGAGCTCGGTGCAGGTTACCAACTAATAAGTACTTATCTCATTAGAGGGCTTGCCTAACCCTAATCTCATAGAACTAATGACGCTTGTGGTCGGTGGAGGCCTGTGGGCAAGTGGCCAGGTGAGGCTGGTATAATCGGTGCGGCGTAGGGCCGAGTGCGTAGCGATTTCAGGCTACGGGCGGGATGAATTAGACGTGTTGCCAAGGGTACACACTATGCGCTACCCTGTTTGCAGGACAATTCCAACCTTTATATGGTGCTGGAATTCGTCAATGGAGGAGAAATGTTCTCACATCTACGAAGGATAGGGAGATTTAGGTGAGACTCGTTGTTGATTCATCGACATACTGTTCCTTATATGAGCCAGTGTTAGGCTGCCCCTGTTGCTGTGTGCTATGGATGTACTCCGTCTGGTTTGCATGTATATATATATATATATATATATATGGTCATGGT